AGCTGTATAAAACTATATTGAATAGGTACCTTACCCATATCTTTAAATAATTCCTTGGCAATAACAGAAGAAACCCTATACAGCTGTGTAAGATGATCAACATACTCATTTAAAGATGACTGAGGAAGACATGCTTCAATAGATAAATTTGGGAACACACTCCATACCAGTTTTATCATGCAGCTATGTAATATTTTCAGGAATACAGGATATCAGAACTATGTGTAAAGAGAATTATTATTCCAAGGCTCTTTTATTTTTATCGAACTCAGACATCAGGAACCTGGGTATTAAAGGTCAAAGTTGAATTAACATTATCACTAGTATGTCCTAAATCAATGTTCACCAATTCAATTACCAGACAAGAGTGATAAAATTAAGAGGTAGTAGATACTTAAAATTAATGAGAAATTGTTCTGCAATTAGACAGGAATAAGTTTACCCTCAAATTCTAGGATCAAGACTAGGTACATAGTGGCACAGTTAAATATAAAGATACTTTATTTACAAGAAGTAGTGACAATGGAAGAGATAAAAGTTATATAAGGAACTGGAATGTAACACTGAAATTTCAACATTACTTTTAATATTACAGGAAATGCAATACTTTCCCCATGAAAGGTCAGGACTGACTATTAAGGAATTTCAGCAAAACATAAATAAGTTCAGAGGAATATCTAAAAACAAGAAAGTTAATGAATGAAACTAACAAACACAATACTAACAGCACTATGCTTAATAATCATATTAGTAAGCATACTGTCACATGACAAATTAGTAGCTAAATTGGAGTACAGGTTAATCAGCAGATAGAAAAAGAAGGGAGAGTAGAGAAAAGTGAGATTGAGATTGCAAAAAAAAAAAAAAAAGACAGATTGGTGATGTATCAACTAATTACATACAACTGATAAGAATCTTGATTACAAATCGAAAAACTGATGAGAGAACAACTGTGTGCATAAAGAAGACACCACTGCTGACAATGTGCAGCAAAATGCGAAGAAGTGTAGGTAATAAATCAGAGTTGCAACACAACAACAAAGCAGAGAACGATGGCAAACGTTGACAATTAATAATCGTACATGCATGACAAATTATAGTATAGTGAACTAGCTGATTAACCTTATGTGTATACTGACTTGCTGTTATGTGAAAATTACAGAGAGCCTATAGAAAGGAGTGTAATTGTGGAAGTTTGAAGGTTTCCACATTACAGATAAATATACAGTAAATGAATGTGCGTTAAATTTTTTTTACCTATTGGTAGAAGATTTATGCATTCAAACCTCCACACCCAGAAAGACAAGTACGTAACAAAGATAGACAACAGGTGGAATGAACGGCAACCTTTCTGCCCAAAGATTAAACCAAAATTTAGACAAAGGATGCAGAGAAGGCAAAGTTTGTGAGGGACTTATTTGGGAGAACATGCATAAATGTGGAGAACTGGGGATGCCCAGTTTATAGACAGTTGATAGTGCCACAAGTGGTATGTGACTATCATGTTGTCCCAGGACAGCACTATTGCATCTGGAAAAGAGAACAGACTATACTAATGGTTGAGAATCCTCCTAAGAACCATTTATGTGTGTAGAAATTTAAAAAAAAAAAGACTTTATTCTATTTGTTTGTCTTAGAGCAAAGACACAATGGACTATCTGTCGTGCCCACTGCAGGGAATCAAACCCTGTATTTTAGTGTTGTAAGTCCATAAACTTACTGCTGTCCCAGTGGAGGATACTACAGTGTATTCTACCTGTTTATATATCAGTCTATATATACTAACCATTAATGTAACAATGATAGTAGACTAAAGTGTTTTGTGTAGCTTATATGTGGATATTACAGACTTTAAAGATTATATATACACAGACGTTAATGAAACATTTTATAGTGTATTATAATATTGATTTGCTATAACCAGAAAACTGTATGGATTTTAAAGAATATAGGAATATGAATGTTAATGAAAATATAGATATGAAAGAGGGTTACAATGTTGATTTACCTTAACAAAAAAAAAAAACAAAAAAAAACAATAATAAAAAAAATGATGAAATCAGAAGAAGATAGTAGTTATTGATAATGGTATTATTAAGTATTTTTTGTAAAAAGAGGTAATGAATGGTTGAAAAAGATTTCCAGCAGTATTCTTGGTAAATGTTGCTAGATACATTATGGAATATGTAGTAATCAACTGAATTTTTGTTAACAGTGTTACTAGTGGTTAAGGATGTAATGTAAACTAAAGGCAGTTATTTAGTGTGTGTAAATATCAAATATATGCTGATGATATTAATGCTATAAAGTTAAATATCACTTGTTAAATAAGGATTACTATACATACCTTTGAAGTGTTCTGACTACAGCAGATGAAAGTTATCAATATGTTATTAAATGGCTGTATATTACGGTGTAGTTAGAACTGTCAAACGAGAGTAAAGCCACAGTTGATCTTGTAATGAAATCAAGAATAAGTGGAATGTAAGTAAACAACAAGTGTTTATTCAAAGGCTAGACTTTCAGTTGGGAATTGTTGGAGAGTAATGAGCAGTTTGTTTCATCCCCTTAAATAGATACCCATGATTCAATTAAACTGGCATGATTTTTGTAAACAAAGGACATAAACATCAGGAAGTATATGAGTAATGGCATCACATATCTAGATAGAATCTAGAACTGTTAATGAATTAATTGGAGGAATGAAAGAAAATCAGAGATTACAAGGATGGATATCTCATTAGAAAAGCATGTGCAAGGCCAGAGGTTAAACAGGCTTAGATGAGCTTAAATATTCTAGTAACTGGGACTTCACAGCGAATACTAAGAAATCATGTCCTAGTCATGGTTTTAGTTCTGACTTTGAATTAAGAAAACATCTTGTTTTCTGATTATAAAAGTTGAGGTAAAAACCACAGCTAAAAAGCAGCAAGAGAGAGAGAGAGAGAGTCAGCTAGTGAGAGAAAGAAAAGAGAGTCAGTCAATAGTCCAGCCTGATACCCTTAAGAAGACAATGATGGATACCTGATACTATCCAACCTCTATGTAAGTTCATACTGTCATCTTCTACTAATTCTAGTAATGTTTTTTGATACATCTGTTAAGACAAGCCTAAAAGTTCTGATTGGCTTGTTGATTCAAATAATAGAGTTATTGATGATTATTTTGGAAGAGCCATCAAAAAGTAGCTTACTAAAGAAAAGTAGATTCATGAACCATGTTTACTTGTGTACAATATAAGTAAAATCAATGCAATAAAAAAAGTCTCTGGGTGATTCTTTTGTATTACATAAACTTCCTCAAGTTGGTGACTTGTGTACTTATGACTGCTTATCCTGGTATTTAAAGAAGTACTATTTCTAGCAGGTATCAGCATACCTACCATCTGCCCATTACAGTAGCTTTGTGTTTATCAAATATATTTTGATTACTTTAATAGTTGGAATAATCAGAAATCCTAATTTTGATTAGTTGATTGTTTTTGTAATAGCTGATTTAACTGTAACTTCAAGTAATCAATTAGTTTACGTGACACTAATCGATGTAACTGTTGCTCATAGAGTGATATCGATTAATTGATTATATTTCGCAGCAATCAGCAATGTACATTATACTTACATATCAACCAATAATTATATGCTTCTCACTTCTGTATATCAACATGTTTATTTAATCCTAACTAATTTTTTGGAGTCAATCTGAAGAAATCATATTTGTACACCAAAAATTTTGCACTTTTGAATTACAAAAAAGAAGAGGTTTCTGTCACATTTTCAAATTAGAAAAATTGTCACGAACATAAAAGTGATTGTGTAATAGAAGTACTTATAATTTCAACATCCTAATGGACAAGAAATTTATTGTGGGTGGCCACATACCCATAAACAGGGTGCAAAACGTCATCTGGTCACCTATCCTGGGTGGTTAAAAATTGGCTGGGGACAACAAAATTTTAAAAAGCACTGCAAAGGGAAAAAGCTAAGCTTCAAAATGATGTAAACAACTTGCAAATCGTTCATAATAGAAATGTCAACATTCTTCAAGGGGTAGTGTGGTGATAATCACACTTGCAGGTTGAATATAGTAATTTTGAAAATACTTCCTAGATAATTATAGACTTGAGAATTTATCTTTTCTCATGGTGAATTTCTTTTAGCTGATAGTGGATTTTTGTTACACTACATCCTCTTGAAAGCTACAGTACTCTACTCCAAAAAGTCAATTAGATACTTGATGCTCATGAGCAAGGTATTCTATAGTATATTGTACAATGATGTTTGACGATAAATCATTCATAATCAATTGTGAAAAATTTATCTGTGTTCTGGATAGTTACATAGTTGCTTCAGTGCCAAAAGAAAATCACAAAGGTAAATAAGTTAATGAATATAAAACAAGTTATTACTGGTTAAATGTATAAAAAATATTACTCAATACTAAGTTTTCTTCATTTACAGCTAACAGTACAATTAATTAATACACAATTTATACAAATTTTACATTAAATCAGTTTATAAAAACAGCTTCTTATAGACTTCAGTGGGTCAAGCAAACTTATGAGGGGGTTTTAATTCCACTTACCTAAGTGGACAACAGTTTCAAAAATATTTTTCTCAGCCTGATAATGGCAGTATATTCAAACATTTCAGGAAGAACTAAAAATGTGATTAATGCTATTGTACTACAGATGATTTTAAACACATCACCAATGTGTACAGTATAAAAAAGGAAAATCAAAATTGAGTTAGACTTCAAAATTGTATGTTTTTTTCCCAGAGCTTTACATTAAAACATGTAAGCATAAAACCATCTCAACACTCATGGAGTCAATGTTCTAAAAAGTAAACCAAAATTCAATACAAAATAAGCACTGAAATTAACTACCTATTCTCAAAATCTCTTTTTTTTTAGATTGATCATAACTTGCAATTTAAACTTTACTGACATTTATAATTTCAATGTCCATTTTCAACTCTTAAAGGTCTGGTAAAACAACTAACCTTATTTTTCATTGAAGAGTTGTTGAATTCATGAAAAGTCATAAAAGATTGGGAACGACGTTTATCACATACCACATCCTCTTTTGTACATGATGCAAGGGTTTGATCCTGTCAAGTAACAAACACAAGTCTCATTTATAGTAAGATTGACAAGAAAATACTCCAGCAGTTTTCAACAGAAGACAACATATATGTAGTCAATAGTACGGATAGTAGTGTGGAAAGACAATGTATGGATAGAAAGTGGTTTGTAGAGACAATATACAGGTAGACAGTGACATAGAAAGACAACAGCAGGTAGACAATGGCACTTAAAGACAACAGCAAGTAGACAATGGTAAAAAAAGTTTATCTGGTTGTTGTTAAGCACAAAACTATAATTGGCTATAAGTACTCTGCCCATCACAGGTATCTAAACCTTATTTTTAGCATTCTAAACCTGCAGACTTACCTAGAGCCACTGGGGGAGAAAGCATTGGAAAGTAACACTTAAGTAGCTGACAATGATGTTGAAGAATAACAGACAGGTAGACACACACATAGACAATGTCAGAGAAAAATAATACATATGTAGAATGACAACACATGTTTAGGTATTTATATAGAAGGTGATAAACTGGTAGCAGTCATGTAATGTAACGAGGAAAATACACATCTAGAAAAATAGATTTATATTTCCCAAATATTTTATAAATGTAGCAACAGATAACATTTCTCCAAGTATTGGTAAAGGTTTCTTGAATGAGTTGACTAACAAAACACTTCAAGTATTTACATAGGTTTCTGTTTGAAGACTCAAATATGTAAGTATCTATGAACAATACAGACTTTATATACAAGCACGAGTACTCGAACTGCAAAACAATGAATATGTTTCACTGTGAAATTTCTGTACAAAATGTAATGAGGTTTTATAAACTTAATTTGATAGTTATTATATCTAACACTAATCTTTCAATAACTATTGTAAAATTAATATTAAAATAATTACTGTCAGAAAATAATGAGGCACTTAACATTATATATACATTTTGTTTTAGTTTGCAACTACCATTAGTTTAAAACTTAAAAAGAACTTACTTTTTCTTAATTAATCTTAAGAAAAAATAACAAAATTACAGTTTAAGTTTTTGGTTTTAAAGTATTCAGTTATTTTTAAATTAACAATAATTTAGATTTTGTTTTTTAAGAATTGTGATCACTCATTATAGAAGAACTGCTCACTTTGTATTGGTTTTGAAGATGACGAGTTATCAGGGTAAGATAGGCTATAGATTCCTTCTGGTCTCTTGTTCGTTTAATGGTGAAACCGTCAATTACCTTTAAAACAGGATAAATAAAATAGTTTTATATATATATGTAACAGGTCAGAATATGATCCATCATATGTTTTCTGATTATTTTTAGGGATTATCCTCCTGCAAATGTATTTTACATACTATATTAGAACAGCTTAGTTAGAAAGCTAGTTAAATTATAATAGTTACAGGAAATTGCATGTTTTGTGTGGGTTGTTATTTTATGTTCTAAGTTGAATATTTGAAATAAATATAAATTCAGTAAAGTACTACCAACAACCCCAGCAGAAATCAGGGTTAACTTTTATTGACACTTTGAATCTTTAACTGCAAAAAAAAGTACAAGACCTCCACATAATTACTACATTTCTTGTTTTTTTTATGTATACAATTTTTATTTATTGTTATAAAAGTAACTAAAGTGCAAAAGTTAGAAATGTATTAGGTTAGATAATAAAATGTAAGTGAAATAAAAAATAATTAATTTCTGTACATGCTATGCACACAAGAAGCTTGTTGCATTAAGTAATTCAATATCATAACTTGAACTGCGCATTGCTGGATGATTTCTAGCTTGTTATGCAGGTTTAGTATTAGAGAAAGTTCAAATAACAATAATATAATAATATGAAATAAAAAACAAAGGCTGTTTAGGATCAATAACAGTAATTTTCTCTTACAATCTGCAGTCATTCCAGAAAGAAAGGGGTAATTTAGATTTCATATTTTTCGTGGGGGTTAAAAGGTCGATGAAGCGGACTGATCTTGTAAAGTTTCAGGGTATAGAAAATAAAAGATAAAATATAAATTTTTACTGGAAAAAACTTAGTCTTAGTGGTTATGCAAAAAAATTTAAAAGCTGCAAGATAAAAAAAAGTATTTTTATTCTTAGCATAAAAATCACAGTTCACTCAGACTACTAATAAATTCACAAACAAATCTTTAAAAAAAATACTTAATTAAAAATTTGATTTTTCTGTGTAGAAAAAGACTTATAATGACTACAAAAAGTTTGCCAAATGTTGTAAAGATACACTTACTACATTAATAGTTATGGTAAGTATAGTTTCATGGCTATATGTAATTACTATAAAAAAATATGTTTTTCAGATATAAAATTGTGCCAAGGTAAAAATGTATCATTTGTTATCAATACATTTTTAGTGTGAGGGTTGCTTGGTGCTAACATATGTCAAACATTATTATTTAATAAATTTGGTTGGTTATAGAAGAAGCAAATAAGTTAACATATTTCACAAGTATAGTCAACAGGTGTGGACAATGTGCAATGGCATGAAGAGTAAAAAAGTACTGCAGGAAGTTTTGACATGGAAATAAAAACTATAAGTTTATGTTAATAAATTCATAAATTTTCCTGTTACAATAAATTCTTATTGTCTTCAAAAAACAATGAGTGAAATGTACACTGCTACTATGAAATAAAAAGAGAGAGAGAACAGAGAGAATAGTAGAACACTGAAGACTGTAGTAATCATCAAAGGATCTGTCTCTTTTCCAAGGTACTGCCTTTGCCTTGTGGTATAAATATGTGGAAGCCAGCTGACTCAATTACATTTGGAAAATTGATTGCTGGTATTCTCTACAGAATGTTTCCTCAGTGTTTCATGCAAGGTTTCTGCTGTGTGCCACTGTTATTGAGCCAAACTGATGCAGAGAGTTTGATGCAGTATTGTTTGATATGTAGACATACATATGTGGAAAAATAAAAATGCAAGTGAAATTTTATTGTTTTAGTTTTTTTACCATGTTTAACAAATCAAGCTTACTGTCTTTCACTTAAAATTATTTTTGTTCAACTTAGGTTTCTAGATATATTTAAGAAATATTGAATGTTATACAAGGTGGCCCAAAATTATCCTTCCTATTTTAAAATTTAAGTTTTATTGTCATGTTTTTTTCACATCAGTGAGTAGTGTTACCCCATAAAATGGCAATCATGCAAGAAAAGGCTCAATGCATCATTTGGCTTGCAGGGTGGACCAATTCCATAGCTTCCGTGTTCACCAGACATCACTCTACTAAACTTCTTTCTTTCTTTTAAGGCATATTAAGTAAATCATATATTGCAAACCAATAGCAAACATCATGGAGCTTAAGACCAGGATAACAGTTGCCATCACCACTGTAATTGTGGACACATTACAACGAATGAGGATTGAAATCAAATACCGGTTATACGGCTCAGAGCCACTAATGATGCACATATAGAAGTCTACTGACATGTCATTAAAACTGTTTGAGTTGGGCTACAAGATGTTGAAAACTGAATAGTTGTATTTTTTAGTTATTTAATTATTAAGTTTTAAAATTGGAAAGATAATTTTGGACCACCATGTATAACTTAAGGGCTCATATGGAAATTGGATGGAATATGTACATGGATACACTTTTTTTGTTTTTATAAAATAATTTACAAAATTAAAGTTACTATTTCTGGTTATGCTATAGAAATTCTGTTGAGCTGAATAAAACACTAAACTGCATTTACAATTCAGTGATGCATAAAATGGTCATCAGGTGTTAGATTTAATTATATAATTCAGTTCATTATTCTATAAATTACCTATTATTGTCACTATATTGTGTAAAACATGCTAAGTTGGTACAAAAATAACGATGACAGCAAATAGTTGCTAAATACACTTGAAGAATATTTTAAAATATTTTCACACGTACACAGGAAGTAAACCATATTGTCACCTCCTGATAGCAATGTCCATATACCACACAAGTATTTAATTTTATCACTGGCATCATAACTTCTCTAAAAAGTTAGTAATTATGACTAATGAAAACAATGTGAGTACATAATTGCTGATGGTGTGATGCCAAAAATTAATTTTCAGCTAGCAATTAATACTTCCTTGTAAGAATAATTTCATTAAGCCTAACTTTTGTCAAAGCATTTTTTCTATACAAAACAAAGTACAACTTTGTATCAGTGATGTCACTGCACTGAGTTACAAAAACTCAAACATTTTCCAAAATACTGCCCAACTAAGAAAATTCAACAATGAAAAATAGCCAATACCACAGGCACGGCAATTAATCAAATTTTTTTCTACTTCTGATGCCAAAAACAAAAATGTTTGTGGTAGGGTTTGACAAATTCATGAACAATCTGGTGTCTCAATACCAGAATTGAATTTTAAGTGTCTCTTCTCTCCAATTATTGTGTCCTAAAAAGGTTTCTCCTCTTTTCCCGTGCGATTTCAGATGCTTCATTCATTTTTTTTTGCAGACACAGGTTCATCAGTCTTATGTTTAATGATCACAATAAAGCCAAATCTCATCAAATCTATTGAGTTGATTTTCTTTTTAAAAGTTGTCACATGGAACTCTAGAATGCAAGCACTAAGAAATTATGCTTAGGACCTACAGTTTACAAAGTGCTAAATCTTGCTCTTAAGCTAGCCTATAACAGTTAATACACATAAGTCAAAATGAGGTAATGAGCAGAAAATAAAGAAGGAGAAATAAAATTCATTCACAATATCTTAATTTTAAAATTTATTTCTTAGTTTCTTTCTTTTATTAATAAATTTTTTAAATATTTTACTTGAATATATAGTGTCCAAACTTTCTCGTGTACCTGAGCCAACAGTTTTATAGAGCCATGTGTAAGGCTTTCTAATTATTTTGGTTAATTTTGTACTTCTTACATACCAATGTTTTGGACACTTTATTGAGTTACAATAATATGTGCAATTTATTTAAAAGGGGAATGTACGGAATCAATATTTTAAACAATTTTTAACTACATCAAACAAAACAACAAAATCTTGAAATCAATGCAAAGGACACAAAATATAAATAATGTCATTAATTATTGTAGTGGTTTAAACAGGCCATTTCTAATGAAAAAGATATAGAACTAAGAAGGTTTAAAATGGGTTACTGAATCATATTATGTGGGCCATATACTAGTGAGAAACAGTTGTCTCTCTATAATGATTCTAAATCAAGGCGAAATTTCATATTGATGTTTTAGATGAAAATCAGGTGTCAAATGTAAATATTTTTGTGCAACTGTTTGTTTTAAAATATTCACATTATAAAACAAACGTGTTTTGAGAAATAGAAATTTTGCAGTTTTTTTTCCTTATTGAACTGAGGAAATTTTGTGAGATATTATTTAAAAATTTTAAGAAAATTTTTTATTATTTTTTTAGGCATACAAATTGTGTGAAAGCATCTTATCTTATAACCCTGTAAAATAAAAGCAATGTACCTGTGTATTAAAAATAGCTTGTTGTAGTGTTTTATCAGGTAAGCCAAGGTGACCTGATCCAAAGTCTTCCACCAAATAGATCGGCCGGCATAACCCACATGCCTTCATCCGAAACTTGAAGAAACAAAACAAACAATATTTTTAGATAGCTTACACAACAGCTTCACCATGATTTAAATGTTTAGAAAAATTAACTTTCTACTTAAAAAATTATATTTTCTTTAGTACTTGTAAGATCTCTCACTCTTACCTTCTGCAAACAACATTTGTTCTATTTCAGAATTTTAATGGAATTGAGGATCACAAAAGAGAAGAGGGAAGTAACATGAACAAGTTATTAATCGCTTTTATTTCTATTTTGTTCATAAATTGCAATCTCTAACAGTTGCAATTACTACATCAACTCACAGCACAATCACAAGAAAAACAGAATAAAACTTCAGAATTTGAAAAAATAATGTCTCATACATATAAAACCCATTTAGAAGAATTATTTTAAGTGAAGTATATTCTTGATATTATCACTTCCTTTGTTGTGAAAGATTTAATTTTGTCAATTACATAATATGATATAAAAAAAAAGACATCTATAGTGTTGAAAACAACATCAGTAAAAGAGGTGCGACTCCTGAAAAGAAAGCAGGGCTACTCCACAAGTATCTGCAAAAGCTCAGACAATTTATTATTGTCCTGCTGGAGACACATTTCAAAAGAAGTACACAGCATGTTGCACAAAATTTTTCAGAGTTGTTGAACACTGTAGTTATAATCTAAGTTAAACATACAAAGAGTCAAGAAAAAAATTCCAAGGTGAACTCTACAAACTATCATGGTAATGTGCTAGCATCATTATACAAATATTAAAATCATAATTGAATGGACTGGATGCCAATAAGCTATCATTTCATGAAGAGAAAGCATCCAGCTATATGTCCAAGTTAATATGATAGTTGTTCCATAAGATCCAAGGAGAAATGAAATCTCACACTATACTGTTCACAGACATTTAGAATGGTCTTATATATGCCTTTGGGTCCTATGAAGTTGTTGTCTGTACACAATTGATGGACTTTGAAGGCACATTAAAAGAAGGGGGTCAATACTGCCATAACCAGGGCCATCATTTAGAATATTATCAGTAATGAAAGAAGGGCTATATTATTACAATGGATCATGAACACCCTTCTTTTAGTAAAAGGCTAGTGCTCTTATCACTTACTTTCCTTTGAAAGAGCTAATTTTGAACATTTTACCACCTTTTGTAACAATGCCAATCCATTTGACAGATAATATACATATTAAAACAAACTTGCACAATTGAAATTAAAGTTACTAATTTTCTTATATTAAAGATGGTGGAAGAATTTTGTTTTTCTTTTTTTAAAGTTGATAAATCAGTTTTTTTTTACTTGTTTCTCTACAACTTACCCTGAAGTGAATCCTTTTTTTTTAAAACAAATCACCAATAAACTACGACATTTTATCTCTAGTTTTTTATAAAGAACTTTTACTTTAGTTTTGGTTCTTGCAATGACCAGATACCTTTTGTTCCCGAAACCTTCCATCTTTAATACTGCTTGCAAGATCATCCATTCTCTTCCTCTCAACTATAAAATCCAAAACAAGTTCTCGGGCTTGTGGAAGCTGAAGAGATCCTGGTAAGGGCTCAACTTTTTCCTTTGCTATCCATAAAAAGTCTCCAACATGAAGCTTTCGAACAACATGTGGTACCCCATTTCTCTGAAGTTCAGGAAGAACTGCCATTTTTCGCTTTGCTGAGGTACTAAAAACAAAGCTAACTTCAAATATACACAATCAAATTTAAAAAATCTCCATTTTTTTTCTTATCTACAGTGTACAAAACAGTTGGAATATAACTGGATTTTAATAATATTATAGCTACGACAAACCAAAACCATTGTTATAAAATAATATCAACACCCTTCCTCAGTTCATTGTTATAAAAATCAATCATAAAAGTTGGGTGATATTTGTTCACTTTAAGTCTTTCACTACTGACTCAGTGGATTACACTAATCACACAACTCCAAAGTGACCATCAGAGTTACTATAACTTTTAACATGTATTGTGTATCTTCACGAAATTTTTCAAGCTTTTAGTAAACATTACAAGTCTTTTGTATACAAAAAAAAAAAAATCACAATATTTAGCAAAGTATTTTTACTAAAAACGTTTTCATGAACCTATGGAATCAGTATTGACTGCTCCAAATGCAAAGTGATTTTCATGTTAAGATTAGAAATATTTTTCTTCATCAGAAAATTTTCAAATTTCATATTCTTAATCTCCAAAACTTCCTAAATAAATATCAAGTGCTTTTATGGGAAAAAAAAACTTTTATATTTTATCTGTTATTTTCTCTACCCAAACTCTGTACGTGGTCAGTCAGTTTGACCACCGTCATAATAACTATAAAACTTTAAAGGTTGAAAAATGTAAAATAAAGTAACTAGTACTATTCTCTTTAGTATTGACCATGAAGTTCCTAAATACTTCCAATGAGAGTTCCAACTTTCAACATTTTCATGTCTATTCCCTATGTTTGTTTTACTGTTAGAGGTTGAAGTAGAAACCTGTCGATCATAAAGCAATGAATCGCAGCTCCTGCCATTAGACTCTTTATTTGATACCATAATATGGCACTGTCAGTAGCAAATAAGCTTGTGTGATGCAATTACCAGAGTTTTCCCACAGAGTTTATCATAATCCTAAGAACACAGTGAAAGAGGATTTATCAGCTTGTTTATAGTACAATGGTTGCAACAAGAATTGTCTAAAGTAATAAGCATGTGAGAAAATGCTACTGGTATGGCTCTGCACAAAGTCCAGGCCAATCCAATAAACTTGGTAGGTATTTGGATATTAGTTATCCTCCCAGGGTGATCATAATTTACCAGTATAGGTGTAAAAAGCGTGTAAGTGCTTATGAACATGTATATATATATATATATATATATAATTACTCTTTACTCATAAATGCTTAATTTTAAAATCATGACATTTTCACAATATCTTGTATTTTCATTAGGGTTTCAGCCAAGAGAAAGCAATGACATTATAAAAGTGTAATGTCAAGCCTGTGCTTGAACAGGTTCAAAAATCACGAGGCTGAAAAGAGTTAAACTTTTAATAATTTTTCTAGATTGCTATTGTAGGACTTAAATACAATGGATAAAATAACACAGGGTTTGTTTTACAAAACTGTATCTTTCACATTAAAGATAAATCAATTTCTTTACCCTCCAGATGTCTCACAGTTGTCAACACAAAGTACAATATCAAACATTCCAGGTCTCAATAAAAACTGGTCTGATGTGCTACTGTAGCAGACATTTTGTGAAGAAGGAAAGGATGCATTCTCTACTATTTCAACTTCTTTCCCTCTGTAACAGCTGTTGTAAGAAGTAGGAAATAAAGTATCAACTACAGGGTTTACTTCTTCCATCCTTGAGTGGTTGTTATGTGATGAAGGCAGAAAGACATTTGGCATAGCATTTCTAATGTCTAATCCTATTCTGGGTGATAATGTCACTGCCACCATATCTACATCACCATCTTCCATTTCAATGATCTCAGACTGACCTGTAAGTTTGGTTAAAACACAAGTAGGTATAAATGATAAAATGGACATCAATTAAAAAGTAGAATGATTAAAATACTTAAAAATAATAAGTTTGATAAAGTTTAAGTTTTTTAACTATATATTATAATAACAATGTCACACAGTCGCCCCAATACATAAGCCAAACATTACACCATGGAGTGAAAATAAATATATGTAAAACATATTCTGTCTGGTGACAAGCATGTTGATTGGTTTGTAGGTACGAATTATTTTACACTTCTTTCCTACAGGAAATATTTGAAATTAGTTGTTTTTTCCCCATATAGTTAAAAGAAGTATGCTTAAGTGATTCATTATAAAATTCTGTAGGTTCATAATCTTCACAACTCAGAGATGGCATTAGTCCCAATCGCTGTGCAACAGATAAAAACAATCTGAGCACTACAGTTACAGCTCTCTATATTGTCTGAATACATTGTACGAAAGGATATGACTTACATTTTATAACACAGTTGGTGGTGCACTAATGTTTACAGGAATCAATGACGACTTGGTGTCAAACAATGAATTAGTTATTTTAAAATGCTTAAACTTTTATTATGAAATATATATATTCTTTTGTTGCTAAGGGTTTTCTCTCTGGCACAATTATCATAAGATGGACAAAAGTTATAAGCAGGAAGTTAATTGCAAAATGGCTCAATGAACGATTTTACTTTTAAAAATAGCCGTATCTTCAACAATTAAAGCATGACAACTAGAAAATTAAATACCAATTTGTTCTTTAATAGAAGAAAGGATTTACTTCTACAAAACACAAGAGTAAAATAAGAGTTAAACAGCAATGGTAATAAAGTCAGTCCATTTAACAAATGTCCATACATTATAAAGTATCCACACTTACAGTGCTGGGGATTTAATTCTAAGATTGAACACTGTATTGGGCAAAACTCTTCGGCATCATCATTATGTAAATATGCATAAACATAATGAGAGTCTGCTAGCCTGTAAAGTGAATGAAAAGACATTTCAGTAATCTAGGAGCTTTGAAAAAAAAAAAAAGACAGTTGAAAAACAAAATACAAAACCAGTTTCATATCTAATTTCAGTAGTTTAGCTGTAGTATTAAAGTAGTGATTATGAAATACAAGAAAAAAAAGTAGAAATAAATTGTATGGTGACAAAAAATAACATATTTATACAAAATTAAATTTGAAAAACATTACACTCATTGGATATTTTTCCAACCATATATATAGTAAAAAAACTTATAATCACTGGTTTTGTAAAAACAATCAGGTTGGAAAAGTATACTGTAATTTTAGAATGGATTTTTAACAAGTAGCAATTTAAATATAATGATACATAAATGTTCAAATCTTTAGGATACCTTAAAAGTTTGAAGTCGTGATACACACTTAAAATTTACCAAACAAACTGTTTTATAGTATGAAAGACTGACTGTAGTGTTACAAAATTTTGAAGTCATTTAGTTTCATTATAGTATAAAACAGAAAATGTTTGAAGAGAAGTACAATATTTCTAAAGAAAGCTGATTAGAAAGTTGTTTTAAAATATTATTATGTTACATATATAAAACTGTTATGGTTAACAAGCTAAAATTTGGTATGTGGGTGGGTATTTTATAAGCTGTATGATTTTATTTATGCTAAGTTTGAAAGTTGACATTTTTCTTACCTAAAAATGTATTTCTGATGCATATTCACCTCTTCATACAGATTTAGTTATCTTGCTCGCACATCTGGAAAAGAGATTGCCATACCACTAGCCTCGAGTCAACTTACACATAATCTGAGTGATCTAACCTGAATTGCACTATAATATGGTGACATAATCATGCACCCAAGCTCTCCACCAATAGGAGGGCAACACTCATTCACACACAACTTCTCCTCTTAAGTAGTTGCACTCATGTACAATGTAAGTGGAAAGGATGGGTGAAAAGGTGTGCTGAAGTGAGTATCTATCAGAAATACATTTTCAGAGAAGGAAAATGTGAACTTCCGAGATGATACCTCACCTCTGTACACAAATTTAGCTACAATCCCATGATGAATTGGTGAAGGGGGTAATGCAAATTTTACCTAGGTGAGTTCCTTTCAGAAAGTGCCTGAAGGAAGTACATGAGGTGTGACACCTGAAGGCAAGGGCTACATAGGGACACACCTGACCTGTGAGAGACTGTATCTCATCCATCCAAAGCATACTCTTCGTCCACTTAAAACTAAAAGGAAGAGGGAAAAAAGCCAATTTGTGTTGCAGATATGGGTGGAATAGGAACATGACCATCTAAGTAGTTGCACACAAGTTGTCAGACAACTAATACGTGATGCATGGTTGGGGTATATTCAGACTATACATTGTGTGCTCACCTCAACTCTACCATCAAACTCTATGGAGTAAACTCCAGCTGTGGAAGAAGGGTACATGTAATAAATATCCATGTGTACACCTCAACTCTATTGCCAGACTCTAAGGGACAGACTCCAGCTGCAGGAGTCTAGAACATTAGTGATACACCATGGTTTTGTATTGTGCATGCTCATCTCGACACACCAACCATGGTTCCACAGACTGGGTGTAAAATACCATAAACAGGATTGGAAGGAAGAGAAGCAAAGAACCAAAGTGAAGAAAATAAAAACGACTGTCGGCAGAAACCAAGACCAACAGCAGGAAAACAGATAAGTACCCACAGGATTATATATGTGTGATAGTCACTGACAAGAAGCATGACAAATTGGATGAATGGAAGAGGGAAAACAAGAAAAAGAGGAAGGTCTGGAATCAGGAAGGGGAAGGTGAGGAGAAAACTAAACCAAATGAGGAAAAGAAGTAAAGGGCAATGCTGAGAAAGAAGAAAAATCGGAGAAGATAACGAGGACAGAAACTGTATTACATCAGTCCAATTATCAGGGAGACAGGAACTCTACTGAAGACAATCAGACAAACAAAAGAAGCCAAAAGGAGTACAGTAGAGAGCACAACCAAATTCTATGAGTCCCGACAACAAAAGACAGAGCAGAAAAAGTGGAACATGGCTAAACAGAGAAGGGAAAGAATGTTTACAGAGATCTATATGAAGCAAGAAGTTTCTCAAACAAAAGGCAGAGTTAGGAAAAGGAGTACAGGAAGGCAGAGAAAAAGGGCAAAAATGCGAAAATAGGGAACTAGGAAGAGAAATAAAGGTAAGGGGCTAAATCCCCAAGCTGGCTAGAAATATATCAATGAAAGGGATTGAGAAAAGGAATGCAAGAAAGTCTACAAATCAGGACAAAATGAATTACAAATGTGAGGAGGCATTTGGGCATGAGAAGGAGTTATTAAAGAAATGAAACAGTACAAACTGTAATGAGAAGCAAGGAGAAAAAACAAAACCCAACAAATATAGGTCAAGGAGTAATAAAATGAAAATGAATAAAGAACACGGGCAAAATATAATGAAAATAATATACCTGAGATGAAATATATATATATATATGGGGAGAAAGGAAGGTCACATTCCAACAGATCATTCCCACCTGATGAGAAAGAAATTCAGCTAATGGGAAGTGAATACAAGGTCCAATAACCATGTGGTAATCCACAACACATTGAATAATGGATGCAACGATCTGAATGCTAATGAGCCTCCTATAACCATAGTAAAAATAAGGTCTAAGTGGGAACCAAGTTACTCAAACAAGAATAAGTATAAATCACAATCTTTGAGAATGAATGATAAAATTAAAGCTTTTGAAACAAAAGCTAAAGAGAACAAAATTCAAAGTTTCATTAATGATGCAAATCTCAACAAGGTGAATTCAGATGAGAAAATTGGACACTTATGATAAATGCAATGCCGAGGAGAAGAATTAAGTTTACGCAAGTGCAAATGTATAGGGGGAGTTATTGTGCAAGGGAGTGTGTTACCTTCCTATTGATGAAGGGGTTTGTTGCCCAATTCACATTAAATCACGTGAAATTAGGTGGGAGTTATTTCAAGGCTAGTGGCATGCAAATCTCTTTGGTAGATATATGATGCAGATAGATAAATCTGTGTGTAGAGATGAGGTATCGTCTCAGAAACTGATTAAAACTGCTTTTATGTATGTGATCAAGATAACCTTAAAACAAATTTAATTTAATTATCAATAGTTGTTGAAACATGTTGTGATACAGCTGGTCTTCAAAATATGGTCTTCAAATTAACATAGGTGAAATTTTCATTGGTACTAGCTTGTTAAAATGACTGTGATAAACAAAGGATTCTATTCTCTGCTTTCATCCAGAGGTGGTGCTGTATAGGTTGTTTGAATATTCTGTATTAAGTTTCTAAGGATAACTATTTTGTTGATTACCATACTTCACAGAGTGTGTCAGTGAAAGATCAGCAGTTGAGCATCTTATTATCTAATTAAAACTAGATGATACATCATTAAAGATTTGAAAATAAAACACACACACACACAAAATATTAAATTCAACTTTTAATAATATTTACAACTGCAAGCTAATAAATATTATGATCTAGTCACAATACATGTATTTTTTAACAAAATGTAATTATATCTATATCACATATTCTGGAGTTCTTGATCAACTATACAAAAGTTAATTTTCATTTCAGTTTTTATCATATTAATTTCAAAAAAATTAAATACCAGGTGAAGATTAGAAACATTAAGAGGTAAACAATATTATCAAGCCGAGACTAAATGGTTTTGGTGTAAAAACAATGTAATCTTTTTAAATAAAATTTTAGACATGTTTTCATTGTAAAATATCAGTTGAAGAGTGACTTTTCTAAAAATATGAAACTCCCACCTATTTTCTTCTAACTTGTAACGCTTCCCTGAATCAAGTAATGCTTTTTTCTCACACTTTATTAAAAATCCTAATGACATCTCATCTGCATGAAAACAAAAAGTTAAATGTAAAAATTCTACAAGGAAACTTCAACCATTCAATTTTTCATTAAAGAAAAAAGTTTAATATCATTATTTTTCAAATCAATTTAACAAAATTAAGCCCTGAGAATCATATGGTATGATTTGCTTAACTTAAAACTTGCAGATTAATAAATGTTGTTAAAAGCATTTTCATCAGAGTTGTATTTAATTTCTAAAAGTCTGTATCCTAACACAGATGGACAGTTAACTCTGAAACAACTCCATCAAATCAGCTGATGGAACTCTGAAATTTTAACCATTATTTTTAACTTCAATAGAACTGCCATTAACCTTCCTACTAACAACATATCAAACAGACATATATGGCCAACATGATATATGTATACCTCCCTTGATTATTTAAAAAAAATGATTTTGTTTTGTGAAAAAAGGCTACTGATTAATTCATAAATTACAATTGTAAGAAGCTGTAAAAATTTACCCACCTTAGTAAAAAATTCAACATAACATAAAAACTGTAAATATGTAATACAGATATTAGTAATCAAAGGGCTAAGTAGCAGCAAAGTACAATAAGAGCTTACCATCCATCAAAACTAAGGCTTTATCCTTGCTGGTCACCTCACAATAATTTTCATCAATATAACAATACAGAAACCTACAAAAGAGCAAAGAAGCTATGGAGGAGAAGATTAATGTAACTTGCTACAGTACCAAATAAATATGCTTAATTAGATTTAGCAACTATGGTAAGTGACAGCAAAAAATGTTCAAGACTTAAATCCTTATTCATTGAAAATTATTGTTAAGTTTACTTTATCAAAGTTAAACCATCACACTTACTCTGAAAGTAAGAAAAATTAACCCACTGTTGTATTTTATACTTCTTTTTACCAGATAAATGTTCAGTACACTAGCCCTATTATGATCAAGGAGCACTTTTTCAAGTGTTATGTACATGCCTGCATGTTAAATTTCAAAATTCATTTAAGTATAACCATAATTCTGTCTATTCTTAATCAAAAGTACTTTAGAATTGATATTCCGTAATTTTGTAACACATATTTAGTGTAATTTGTGAAGACAAATGACAAAAATTTCAAACTGACATTTCATACCAGCTACAAGGAGTCTTGCCTATAAACAACACACACAGATTTTTGTAGAATTTTTCTGCCCATCCCAAAACTTGGTTTATACTTGCTAAAAAAACTATCATCCCTTCAGAATATAATTATCCATGTCTTGTTTCTCACATGCTTTTACTTCTAGTTTAGTAATTTTATTACAACAGTCTTTGATCACCACCCTTTCACAATGTAACAGCATGAGGTCTGAACAATTACTAATGAAGCACAGCTTTGAAAACAAGTACAAGCAACATTTAAATAGAATTTGATAGAGCAGATTTGAAACTATTTATATCAGTGCAGAGAAAATAAAGTGGTATGAGCAACAATTTATGGTTTTGTGGGAAAGTGACTACTTGAAGCCCCTGTAGGTATGAACAAAGCTAGTGTAATTTTCTTTAATGGAGAGACATCAGCTATGCTTAATTAGGTTTAGCAAATATCGTAGATGACAGTAAAAAATTTTGATGACTTAAATCCATATTTATTGAAAATTATTGTTAAGTTTATTGTATTCAAATAATGCACATAAATAATAACTTATTACTTATTGAAAATAAACTACATTTATTAGATACAAGTTGATCTTGACCAAGAGTATTGTTAGCAAACATATTGTTCCCTAGACTAACAAATGGTGATGTCATTATTAAAGGTCAGGTCACAGGTCTCTAATAAATCTGTTAATTTTTACGTTTTATTGCCAAAAGTGGCAATTACCACAATCAGAAAAATAAAGTGTCCAATGAAGTATATTAATTACTATAAATCAAGTTGAAACTGACTGAATATATGAAATGAAACTTTCTGATCAATAATAAATAAAATTTAAATTCTATGATGAAAGAAAATATTTCAACGTTTTCCAAATCAGTCTCACAACCAAATTTTGGAAATTTCACACACTAAAATATTACAGAAAAACTAAATTAAGTTATATAAGAATGCTTTAAATCCAAAACTAGATACTATTTAGCAAGTAGTATTAAGTATTTCTACTTTGATAACGAAAAAAAACAAAATCAAAGGATATCACGTAGAGAAAGGGTTAAACAATAAACAAGCAAGACACAGTAAACTAACTATAGTCTCCTATAGAAAACAATTGAAAATGTTTTGATGAATAATCTGAGTATTCAGGAAAAGAATAACTTAAATCCATTTTCAGTAAGGAAGAGAAACAAGGTTCTGATATATAACTCAAGCTGATCAGAAGACAGCTACAAGAATATTTTAAATCACCAACTGAAACACAAGTTAACTAACCTGATGGATGGATTAAAATATTTCCTAATAAGGCCAAGAAAATCAATCTACAAGAGCACAATCATAATTTTCCAAAATCAAAAATTTAGAAGTTTTTAAAATTATTGTTGAAACATGACAAACATTATTTTAATTATTTCTTAGGCTAAGGGCATATTTAGTATGTACACTATCTCTTTTCCAAGGTACTATATAGGTGTACTTAAATATGTTTTTTTAACACTGAATATAATGATATATGGTCTGTAGAGCCTTACTTCATTAATATATACAAAACATCAATCAAAACCAAAATTTGATATTTTCTTTAATTCACCAATTTTCCTATGATTCCTTGGAATACAAAATGGCCGGTCACAAAAGGGATAATGGAAGGTAGTATCCATAACAAACATTTAATCATAAAGTAAGTATATACTTCAAGATTTGATTGAAAAAGAAAAAAGAATGGAACTTAAAAAAAAAATTGAAGTAAGGAAAAATAATATATTTGCATTACAGAAAATGCTAAAAGTTGAGAGGTCAATGTAACAGGGACATGAACAAACATTTTTCTGTAGTTGTTCAAAGCAAATTATTGAAGCTATAATGACCAAAAAAAAAGATCTTTGTTGTATTTTTCATGTTATAAGCAAATCTAAATGCTCTCCATTCTGTGAAATGTGAACCAAGCCCATTTTACTATGGTGTGAAGAAAAGGCTTGTAAAACTTTAACAGCAAATAGTCCAAAAAATACGACTCATTCATTATAGAATAGGAAAACAATAAGTAATGTTGTATTAAAATTGGCTTGTGACAGGTAGGCCCAATTCTACTTCTCCAAAACACCTAAGACACCAGATTGGCTGGTAACAGAACACCTACAGTGTATCTTATATCTTAGCTGTAAATTACCTTGACAAAAATGGACGTTTTGGAAGTGATTTGAAATTGTTAAGACTTCCATTTGTTTTTGATGCTTCAACAACTAGATTAATTTTGTGAGAGTCATAGTACAGTGAATGAGAATCACTCTGCTGAAGGGTCAACTTAGCAGAATTAAAGGGTACATTATTCAGCTGGGGAGTTTCAAGTTGACCTTGAAGTTGTGTTGAAAGACCCATTCCTGCTTCTGTCAGGCTATACCTGAAAATTATAAAATATTAATATGTATTTATATCTCACTAAAACACAAAAAATATTTTTTTTGTATATTCTGATAATATGGCCACATGACAACACAGTAACATCTAAATTAATTAATTTAGAAAAACTATATGTTAAACTCACTGTCTAAATAAATATGATCAGTTCATAAGATCAACTTGTCAATGAGAATAAATAATCAGTAACTAATGTATATCAGTAAACTATTATTACAAATTGCTCATACATTACAAATAAAATACAAAAAAGAAGATAAAACTGTACAATAATACACAATCATATACATACACAGGTTGTAAAAAATCACATTCGGTATCAGCCTGCATGTAATTTTACCTTCTTACCTTGCTGGATTTCCTTCTTTAATGACAAGTCCTTTTTTAATCAATGTGCTCATATTTGACCAAGCATTATAGTGAGATCCTGGATCTGGCTAGAAGACCAATAGTGAGGTTCAGTAAAGTTCTTTGTGTGTGTGTAGAAAAGTTACATTATTGTATCAACTTAAATTTAATATATTTCAATCTAGAATTTAGACCTATTAAATTCACAGACTAACAGTAATTCGTGTTCTTAAAGAAACATAAAAAATAAAATATTTGATTACTAAGTTACACCAACAATATAAAAACTTGGTAAATTTTTGATTGTTTGTTGTTAGGTACAAGGGTACACAATGGGCTATCTGTGCTGTGCCCACTGTGGGTATCAAAACCTAGCTTTTAGCATTACATGCATCATTGATGAGCCAGTGGGGAGGGGGCTTCTGATAACTTACCATGGTAAATGAAACATCACATAAAGGTTGAGCTTCATTGATCAAGTCTGCCTTCTTCATAAACTTGTGTCCACCTTTAACCTAAAAATAGCAAAACAAGAATTAATAAATCTCATAACTATACCTCTCTACTTTGATTTTACAGGATGTTGCACAGCTGATTAATTTCTAATCTATTAACCTGCCTTCACCTCAATGGAATGTTTTCTTAGATGGTAAAATCTGATCATAATAGGCTCAGTATATATTTTAATTAACAATCAGATATATATATGTATATTTTATTCTTTCCACGACATATCCAAAAACATTAGACTTTCTTCAGTAATTATCATTTAGAGCCAGAATTACAACTAGTTTCACTGAATGGATTAGTTCTTTTAAGAACTTATGATTGAAAGCAAATAAAAATAGGTAATAATGAGTCAAACAAGCTACATCTGCTATATCTAGTGAAAATGAGGCCCCTCTTGCCCACTACCAGGGCTTGCTAATGCCTTTAGCAAAAGCATAAAGTTACCATTGACTTCACTTTTCAAAATGATGATGCCACACTTTTTGTTACATTAAGTTAGTCAATCATATCATTGGTAAAGATAAATTTATGCATAATAATTATGGTTCTTTTATTTGCATGTGCTGTTTGAATAACAATATATTCAACTATATACATGCAATAAAAAAAGGATTTTTGATGTTTTGAAGACTTAGCTTACCTTACAAAATGTTATAGAAGAGTATTTCTTTAGCATTCAAACACAACAAAAACATTGTCAAGAAGTAAAAAAAAAGACCATCAGAAACTTTAAAAAATGTCCAAGGCTTCTACAGTAATGAAAAAGTATTTCATAACTTTCTACTGTGTCTGAGACATAACTCATTTTCACATGGAATTAATGTATTCTTCACTATAGAATATTAAACTTTAAAACCTCCCCTTTCTGAAGATTATTAGCTTTCAAAGTTGATATTCCATCAGATTTGTCAAGATACTTCTGAAAGGTACTACAAAATAAAATTCAAACAATAAATTCACAGTTGAACAAATAAAAAGGCATAGAAACATAATATAAATGCCAATCTAAACAAAAAAAAATCTTAAAATTTGATTGCAAAAAGTAAATATAAGCTTAGAAACCAGCAAAAAAAAATTATTAGAAAAGTAGAAAAGTGATGTTTAAGTTCAGACACAAAAGGGGTGAAAGTTTGAGCATTTTTGAAGTATTTTCATTATATAAAACATATAAACATTATACAATGTTAAAAATATTGATTCTAAAATATTTGCAACCAAAAAAGAGAATTATACTTTTGAATTAAATCCTGAAATACAAGTTTCAGGTGCATATTTGAAGTGATGTGAACATCCTTTGGTCCAGAAAGGTTTAAAGAAAGAAAAACTTTATCCTATCCAGTAGTTAATGTTATATTCTAATAGTGTTTTACATTATGCAGTAAATGTATATCTGTTAGATTAGATTAGATAAAAAAAGACTCAAATTAGTCAGCTGCACTTACAAGCATTTGGCCTTTCATATGTTCATATTGTAGCACATGGCCCCATCACTTCCTACTATAATGATCAGACTCTTTAAAACACACATAATTAAATAAAGGTATTTCTGTTTTGCTTATTACTGAGGAAACTTTTTGTTTGTGTGAGCACAGAGAAAGATGTAATTTGAAATATTCTAAACTGCTTGTCTCTTTTGAGGTATGTCTATGTTTTTGACAATTCATATAGCTCACAAGTTTATTTACATGCTATTTTGACTTCTTTACATTCAGTTTGAGACTAACCCACAGTAGCAAAAATTCCACACAGACATACAAAGAATATTTTGAGGTTTATAAAATTATTAAATTTCATCTAATAAATCATCATGCAATTCTCTAAAACGTGTTATCTTTCTGGTGATTTTCTAAATTTTTTCAAGGGATCACATACGTAGCCAGTAGTCATAAAAGATAAAATTTGAACTTCTAGAAAGGAAACAAAAAACTTCCAAATTTTTGCTTTATGTAACATCATACTCCATACTCCCTTATAAAGATATGGAGTATAGATATAGTAAAATATCTTATTTGAACTCAGTTGTGCTGTAAAGATATAATGCCATCTATTGTCTGAGCTCATTTACTTCATAAAGATACAACAACAGATATTGTAAGAACCTTGGAAAGATAAAGTAGCATCTATGCTGCATCTCTAATATCAGCTAAAGTATAAGGATATAGTGTCTTATGTTTTCTGAACTTGTCTATAGTGCCATCTGCTGTCTGAGCTCAGCTACTCTTTAAGACCACAGTGCCATCTCAAAGGCTTTTTAAACATTTTTTTAATTGGAGTAAATCCAAATATTTTAGTCTCTTTCTCACGTTTTCAGCCAGATGAATAATAAATTGTACTTCTTTATGTTATAATAATCTAAAACTGGTTGTAATATTTAATAAAAGCCACATTAGTGATAAGGATGTGTGAATGATGTGTTAAGTACCAATCATGCCTTTTACATTATAAAAATCACTGTAAGAAATTCATTCTATTTAAAATATGAAATTGAAAATGTTAAAAGTACTTTATAATAAAGCCCAAAAAAACTAATGTTTACATATGATATTAAAACAGAATTAACCACAGTATTTATATTATCAAGTTCTTATCATGGAAGCTGATATGCACGGTTCTAGTTCAATCGTAGTATTTTATGAAAAAACAAGCAATTTTCATTTGTTAAACACAAATTTAATTTGGAGGGAATTTTACTTTGAAACAAGAAACCCACCTGTGCTTTGTGAAGTGCTAACATCAACGCATGACTTCCACTTCGAGGGGCTGGAACATATGGCCTTCTCTGTCTAGGTTTATTTGCCTTTTCCATCGATATTCTTTGAAATTTCTGAGGTACAAAAATACTAACTTAATAAGATATTAGAAAAACACAAATAAACACTTAGTGATATATACAATTGAAGTCATGCAAAGGTTTATGATTGATACAAACCAGGGACTTCCTCTGGATTTTATTATTTTTAAATAATCAACATGTTAATAAACTTACAGTTGAAAAACAAATCACATACACTTTACCATATTTGGATACTAAAACAGTTAATTTAGGAAAGTTGTTTGAAAGCAAATGTTACCATAAATCACGATTTCTATATTGATAGTTTAAAAATAACTTAATTCATATTTTAGTACACTGGGCTATTAAACCTTTTTTTTCTTTTCAATTTCATGAAGACGTGGCAAATGTAAAGAAATTTTTATAATGAAATAGTTTTCTTATTTATTTATTTGATTGATAATACTATTCAGAAGTATTTAGAGGTTTATATAACTCTAAAATTAACAACTGTTCCTCAACTACAACAGTTTAGTGTTTTACTGTATACAGGGAAATATGTTTTATATAATCAAAGAAAAAATGATTAGAATAGTAACATTTGCCCTCAAATTCAACTTACAATTGTTTTTAAGCTGATAATTTGCTTATGTAATAACTACCTTAAATTTAAAGACAGTTTTCTGAAAAATGCAATGCTTTTGCATCATCTATAAATTTAAATGTTCACAGTGTAACCATGGCTATGTGGGCTCTACAATTTGTTGCTTCAGTTAAAGAATTAAACAGCATGAACAGAACACTCCATATAATCCATATAATGTTGACAAAACTGTGACTTTCTTCCTATTGTCCAAGATTTCGGTTTTCTGGGAAGCACTTCAAGTATTGTTATATTTACTGAGGAAGAGTTACAGGTATTACAGATACATGTTGCAATTTAAGGATGTGGCTTGAAGCTAAATGTCTTGAACTCAGAAATAATAGTATTGTCACGTATACCAAGCAAACACGTCTTATGGCAAATGGGACAGCATTAATCGGTAAGAGTTCCATATGGCACCCCCACTCAATTTTAAAAAAAATTCATCAAAGTAATATTTATGAATTAATAAATCATATTAATAGTATGATCTGATAATTTTAATACATTATTATACCACTTACTTCATTAATTAGATGTACAATCTTCTTGGGGATAAACTTTACAAATGTCTTATATAAAGGCATCAAAAAGGCTACTTTTATCAGAATATAATGTTCTCCACATGTATTCACACAAATGCTTGTCAAAGCCATGCCCCAATTTTTCTAATACGCCCCTTAAAATAAACCCTTTTCAGAATCTTTTTTTATCCAGGCAATTCTACAATTTTTGGGTGGGGGTGCCATATGGAACTCTTTCCCATTAATCCACTCTTAATTAACAGACAGGTCAAAGGGAGCATGTTATGACATTTTAGTTATTTTCAAAATTTAATTAAACAGTTCTATTATCATTGTATGTCAAAAAATTGACATCACAACAGTTTATACAGTTTCTAATGGTAAAGTATGTACTTTATTACAGGTAGGTATACCATAAAAAAGTAAACAAACAAGAGTATTAAAAAAATTATGAATTTTAAAATAAAGTAGGCGGGAATCCAGTTATAAAAAATAATGAAATATGAATTAAAACCACAATCACAAATTTATAATATTTAATCCCTTCTTTGGCAGCTTTATACACTCATCTGTAGGCAAAAGTAAGGATTACATTATATAAATTTGTGATTGTGGTTTTAATACTTGCAAAAGTTATAGCTATACTGAAAGTTTACAGATGGATATATAAAAACTGAACAAATAAATAGGAAAGAAAATTACAATTTTAACAGAAAGTAGGGATCATTGGTTATTTGTAGAATTGCAATAAGAAGTATCCACAACAAAATAAATGGTGCAATAAAAAGTCCACAAACAAGTAAAGTGATACTAGGTATTGAAAATCATTTTAAAATCTATCCAACTAGTATCATTTTGTTTGTTTGTGGACTTTCTATTGCAGTATTTATTTTGCTTTGAATAATTCTTATAGCAATTCTTACTTTCTCCTTCCTTACTTTATGTTAAAATTTTAATTTTTTCCCTATTTATTACTTCCGACAATTCTCATTGCACCTACTGTACTATAAACAAACCAATAAGTCCTCTCTCACTGTGTTCTTGGAGTCTGGAATATGATAAAACTCTTTAAGTAAGTTCTGGTAATTGTGTCTCACAAGCTTATTTGCTACTGATGGTGTCACATTAGGGTATCATGTCCAATGGCAGGAGCAGTGATTCAGGTTTGTACTTCAGCTGCTAACAGTAAAATAAATATAGGAAATAGATGTGAAAAGGTTAGAAGTGGAAACTCTCAGGAGAAGTACTTTGGAACTTTGTGGTCAATAATATAAAATTTTATGCTTGTAATGATGTCTATCAAATTGACCAATCCCATATAGTGTTGGCATAGAGAAAATAACATTAAATATTAGGTTTTTCTGAAACAACAACAAAAAAAAAAGATATATATTTAAGAGGTTTTAGAAATTATGCAAATGAAAAGTGAAAATTTTCAGATGAAAAAAGTATTTTTAATCTTAACATGAAATCACTTTGCACTCAGAGCAATCAACACTGACTCCATATATTCACAGACAAGTTTTTAGTCAAAATACTTCATTAAAAACTAATTTTTTTTGTCTACGAAAGGCTTGAAAAGTTTTGTAAAGATATACAAAACATGTTAGTAATAGCATGGAAACTTCGGTGGTCACTTTGGGTTGGTGTAATCAACCAAGCAAGTAGCGACAAAGTTAAAGCAGACAGATGACTTCAAACACCTAGGAGTCCCCCTTTAACCAAGGGGCAGATAAAAAGCATGCAATAAATGAAAGAATAAGGCAGTTCAGCAGAAACAAATCATGCTTTACTTGTTGCTAAGGTAGAAACAGACCACATAAAGTTAGGGTTACCATATATACCACCATATTCTGACCTCTACTGCTGTATGGAAATGGGTCATGGACCTTAAATGCTAAAAAACTGAAAAGACCAAACATTCGAGGTGAGAGTCCTCTACCTTAGCAGAGGTGTCACACTCAGAGACAGAATAGGAAATGATAATATTAGATCAGATCTGAGTGTGAAGAATGTGCTGATAGTCACTTAGGAAGTGCAGCTGAGATGCTATGGCCAACTGAGGTGAAATGAGGAGAAAAGAATGTCTCAAAGTGATTCCTGTGGAAGTCAAAAGGAAAGAGACTACCTGGCATTCTTTAAAATGATGGATATACAACACAGGAGAGGCAGTGTTGCATAGGGGAACCATGCTGAGTGAGATATATGAGCAGAGAGTCTATGAAAACAGGAGTAGGTGAAGATATTTCTACACAGACAGCTCCTAGGCTTACTTGTCGGATGATGACAACTACTTCAAGTGATAAGATATTAAGAATCAAAGAAATTTTGTGAATGTATGCGGTAAATTATGTCTCTTTGAAAGCTTCCAAAGTTGTCTTTGATGAGGAGACATTAAATAAGCTTAGGTAGTTTTATTGAGTATGATAGGTAACGGCAAAATATTCTGATGACTCAAATCCTTATTTCTTGATTATTTTTTCATGTTTATGGTATTCAAACCATCTATATAAATAAATTGGCTAACTGGCTACTTAATTATTCTTAACTGCAATTGTGATATGCTTTAAATAAAAATATTATTACCATTATCAATAACAGTAAAATATGTTTTTAATTATTTGATTATCAATTGATTTGATTTACACAAGGTCAATAGGAGATTACCGAATATTTTAAAAACAAACAAAATAGCCTCATCAAAGTCTTCTAGACATTAGTGATTTGCCATGTAGAAAATTTTCAGATTAACTTTTTAAAACATTTGCAGCAAACGTTTTTGCCAAAATATATAGATTTTTCTTCAGGAAAAAAAAAATTTGGTTTGCAAAATGTAGAAATGTCAACCTTTCCATAAATGAATACTTTATCAACTTACAGTAACAATAAACTAGTCAAGGTACTAACATTCCAGGATATGGCCTAATTCAACGTAGAACTGATTTTCACACGAAGACATTGCTAAACCTGTAATATTCTTCTCTCTTTTTTTTAAAACTTATACTAATGTCAGAAATGGATAATGAGTGGAATTTGATGATTAATTAACAGTGTGGCCGTTAGCCGATTAGATGTAAGTAATCAATTATACTCACACATGATTTGGACAGACGGAATAATTGAAACAAGTAATAATTGGTAACACGTGAATCAAATTGGTTAAGCTGAACACTCTTTACCTAACTGAAAATAATGAAAAATCATAATGGCAATATTTAAATTATTTGGACAGTTGTAATAATTGAAAACAATAAGAACTGGAAACTAATTTTGATTAGTTGATTACTTATGTGACAATCAATTTCATCATAATTTTGAATAATCAATTATATTGACTAATCAGTTTTGTCACCCAGCTATAACCAATATCAGAAGTAAAGATCCTTGACAGATTAAATTTGCTAAAAATCACCGGTGCTCAAGTTAGTTGGTTACCTGAGGTAGCTAAAGTTCACATACATTTCTGACACGCTCTTCAGCTGGCATTAAACTCGTAAGATCATGCAGTTTAGTAACTGAGAAAAAACCCAAATTTTGTACAGTAAACAGAGAAAGCATGGCTAAAAGTAATTAACACTGTAAATTTCCATGTTACTCTACAAAATGCTATTACTGCATAGTTCTTGTCACAGTTAATAAGAATCAATAACATATTTCAAGAAAAACTTCAAGATTAATTTATTCAAGACTACAAATAAATAAATATATATACATACATACATACATACATATATATATATATATATATAGACACATACACACACTTTTTTTAAAAGGCTTGAAAGTGATGTTTAACATGGAGAAAGTTAATACCCAAATGATTCATGGCTTAAGTGAGAAAAACAAGTGCAAGTATAAATGCATAGTGCACATTACATGAAGCTAAGAAACATTTATTAACTAAAATATTATAAATAACTGCCACAATTTTATGGGTACTACTTAATGACCTGCTACAAGTGACCTTCCAATCTTCACATCTGCTGGCCTGGATGGGTCTTCCACTGCTTCCACAAGCATCGGGATTCCTTGGGGATGTTCATTTATTCTGCCCCAAATTATCTTCTCTG